GTGGGCCTAAGGCCTTAACCTCGATTATGAAATTAACCCCCATCCCCTTTCCCTGAAGGGGATGGGTTCCTCGTGGGGACCTGAATCCCCAAAACATTTTCATATAATAGTATTTTTTAAAATAAATAAAAAATTTAAATTATAAATAATGTTTTAAATATGTTTTGATATATATATATATATATATAATATAAATAATATAATAGTATATTTAATATAAATAAGATTTAATACACACACACACACATATATATATATAAAATCGAGGTCGGGGTGGGGCGTGGACCTCAATCCCCATCCCCATCCCCGCCCCTGCCCCGCCAAAACAATCCCCATCCTCAACCCCATTGGGTCGGGGAAGTCAGGTCCCCGTCAGGGATGAGGAAAATTGCCATCCCTAAAAGTGTGTTCTAATAAATGACCCTAATAGAAACACATAAGAGTATACAATTGTTTTATATTTTCAACTTTTTAAATAATAATAATTATTCATATTTTATATACTACTTTTAGTAAAATTTTAATAATACAAAAACAACAATAATTAATTCCAATTAGGTTTATTTATCAAACTGATGAAACCAACCAACCCAATTAACTTGACCCGAGTTGGTCGGTTTCTAGTATTCTAGGTTGGCTTTGGTTCAAAAAGTTCCCAATTCAATCAAGTTGGATCAGTTCCACGTTGGCCATTTGTAAATCGACCAAAATCGAACGACCTAACCATGGATATATTAATATTTTATATTTTAAATATAATTTCTAATATGAAAAAGTGGAAAATTTCCCATATTTCTTAGTCTAAAATGTTTTATATCATAAATCTAATTTTTAAATTTATTATTTAATAATCACACTGTAATTTTTAAAATTAAAGTAAATTTTTAAGTTTAAATCTTTTGAACAGACTAACTAAACCAAAAAATCGACCCAAACCAATACAATTTGAGTGGATCGGTTTTCACAAAAATTTAGTCAGTTTCAGCTGACCAACTCCCTAACCTTTGACCAGGTCAATTTAGTTGGCCAAATGGCCTACGACTACAAAGAACCAACTCATGAATACTCATAATTTTAGCTAAATTAATAGTCTTATCTCTAATAAATAACAATAGTTTAATCTCCCATAATTATTGAAAATCTATAGAAAAAATACACAATTATTGAAAATATATTATAATGAAAACTACAATAATTACAGAAATTACAAAAATACAAGTACTAAAAATATATAAACTTAGTCAATAAATAGTATAATCTCAAATAATAGTTTAATCTATACTAAATATTAATCAATAACTTATAACAAAAACACAATAAGTACAATAAATTAATTTTAAAAAATTCAATAATAGTAATGTAATCTCCAATAATTATTGAAAGTTTTCTATTAAATAACTTAACAAAATAAATTTATACATACTTATTGAAAATACATTTATCGCAGAAGACAATAAATATTAATTTTTGTATATATAATTATATAATAAATATAGATTAAGAGTTTAAAATTATTATTAATAAATATTATTTTTTTGAAATTTATTTTCTCGAATTATTACTTGATATAAGTAAAATTAATTATTTATAGTATTATGTAAAAATATTTAATTATTATTTATTTCAATATTATGTTATAACTACTTTTCTACTTTTTATATATATTTTTTTAAATTTATTACATAATTTATTTATTTTAACTATTTAAAATCTAGTTATGTTAAATATTTTGTTATTTGAAATATTTAGTTATTTAAATACTTAAATAATGTGTAAAATATTAATTATTTATTGAATTTAATTTTCCATAAAATCATAATTTATACTATCATTACATAATTTCATTATTAAATTTGTAATATATTAAATTATTATTCATTTAAATATTATGTTATAGTTATTTTTCTACTTTAAAGATTTTTTTTTAGAATTTATTACATAATTTCGTTATTTTAACTATTTAAAATATAGTTATGATAAATATTTAGTTATTTAAATATTTAAATAATCTAGAAAGTATTTAAAATTTTTCGTTATTTGAATTTTATTTATTTAAAGATATTACATATTATTGAATATTTAAAAAACATTTAAATTGATAATCCAGTAAAGCGTAATTTAAATTGTTAGTACATAATTTTGTGATATATTTTATAAAAATATAAAATTATTTTTTTTTTGTATTTTTAATAAATATTTTAGTTATTTTATAATTTTGTTAGAATATTTAAATAATTCTTAAATTTTTTAATTCATAGTTTCTTTAGATAGATATAGATAAAAAGTATGGGAGATGATAAATAGGAATTAGAGATAATTTAGGAGATAAACTCTCTACTAAATTAGAAATAATTTTGGAGATAAATAGGAATTAGAGATAATTTAGAAAATAAATAAGAATTAGAGATAATTTTGGAATAGTGGGGGATAGTGGGGGAGGTAGTTTAAGAGTAATTTTAGGATAAGAGATTATTTAGGTTATTGGGAAAGTGCATCTCATTGGTTGTTTAAAAATGACATGTAATTAAAAAATAAAAAATTCAAAAAAATGAAAAAATAGATAAATAAATTCTTTCAAAGGAGATACATGCTGACATGGTAGGACCGGACTCGAGTTTAGGATTATTAAGGGCATTTTGGATTGGGTTGGGTGCTTAAGGGCATTTTGGTCAAGAAAATATTTAATAAACTGATTCATCATTCAAGGGTAGTTTGGTCGTGAAACTTGCATTTAGGTTGGCATGGACAACGTGGATCATTAAACTTTAATGATGTTCTAACGGATGGTGAATTTTAGAAAATAAAATCTCACTGACATGATGAGTTTTGGATGTTTTAAAAAATTATGATGAATTTAAAAGAATTCATAAAAAGTGATGGTGGGTTTTAGACAACTTCTCTATTTTTAAATCACCAAGCTGGCTCTAGTGATTCCAAAATTATGTTAGTCACAAATGAGAAATAGAAATTTGTAACGCCGGTTGTAATTGTAATTTGTATGAGTTATGATGTTAATTAATTAAACTCACTTTTTCAAGATTACCCTCGTCTTCATTCCCAAATTGCTGTCTAACCTGTCTTAGATTAGTAATTTATTGGCTAATCCTTTTTTTGGTATTCATTGGCTAATCTATTACAATTTGTCTGATTGTGCCATTATTTTTGTTTTGTAATTAAATCGTAACCTTTTCAGCTGGTTTGAAAAAATAAAAAGCTTACTATAATATCCGTTGTCTAGTCTGATCAGTTTCATGTTGATCAGTTTAACTAAGAAGCTAAATGCTCGTTTGGGAGAACTGAAGCGCAGCTGCTTCGGGCTTTTTGAGGTCAGCCCCACACGAAAAACCTGGAAAACCCAAATCAGCTTCCAGTCAGTCCGTTTGAAGGGCTGGCTGCTTCAGCCTCTTTGAATAGCCTATTCTGGAGCGCTTCAAAGCAATTGAAGCAGGTTAGCTGCTCAGCGCTCCTAAACAGACCCTTAATAAGCTGCTTTGGTTAAGCTACATATAAATTTGATAGGACTGTTATTGAACTAACCTGATCCATTCTAATATGAGTCTGCTGCAGATGAACTAAGTTCAATTCAATCTGATGAATACTTTGGACCATTTTTGACTGATCCAACTCAATGTCTGGACCATCCAATTCACTCAAATTGGTTTTAATTATATTGGATCCAATTCAAACCTGGTCCATTAACACCCATACTTTTATCTTCTTGTCAATGGACTGGATATTAGTTCAATCCGACCTAACCAACTATAAATTCATTATAAATGAACTAGATCCAATTTAATCCAATAAATACTTTGGACCATTAAAGTCTGGACTGGTCTGATTCAATATGTCCTATTGGTCTGTCCAACCCTTTCAAATTGATGATCTGTTCCAACTCAAATTCTGTCCATTGACACACCTAATTGTTGACAACTGGCTTAGCTCCCTAAGAAGTCACATAATTTTGACAAGGCGCTTTGGATGGGTGATGGACAGCTACTTTGGCTCTCTGGGATTTTTTCATCAAACATAATTAAATGTGCTACGCTTCAGCCCTCCCAAATGGGCACTTGGAAGTATGCAAAGTTCTAAATATTGATACAGATCCATATGAGATCGGCTTTGGCCAGTGCAACGCCCGTTGGAACACCTTTACAGCCTTCCATTGAGAATATCTTTATACTTATATACTTTATTTTATAAGGAAATAATCCCAATGCAAGATTCCAAGAGACTATTGGAACAGTATCAACATGGGCTTGCACTGACCAATATGCCAGTTGGTAGAAGCTTTACTTTTTTATTTTATTTTCAAACCTGTTCACTTGTTCAGGGGTTGGTATAAGACCTGTCTACCCCGGAAATAGGTCAAACACTCAAACCCCGAAACAGTGACTGTAGTAGCGTATTGGAAGATCACCAATATAATAGGTATTGGCTGATACGGGTCGAAACTCTGAAATTTTAATCCTTGGATGGATGTATGCCCTGTAAGGTTCTACATTTGAAAGGCTCCAGGACTCCTCTCTGATGAAAAGGAAACAGGATACAGGGCAGCTCAAAAGGAAACAGAAACCTAAGAAGATTAAAAAAAAAAAGAAAAGAAAAAGCAACGAACTACCAGATTGCTGCTGTTTGAACAAATAAAAGGACCAGATTCCAACCACATTGGGGCCACACTAAAGCGCTCTCCAATCTTCTATATAACCTCTGACAGATGGGCTGCCAAATTACCTTTCCAACCTCACTTTTAAATGTCATTAATTATCACATATTCTCCTATAAAAAGCTAAAGATGAACTTCTGAAATTGCCCAGAGAAGGCCTTGTAAAATTAATACCTCAAGTTTTGTCTCTCCATTTGTTTAATTTTCAGTGAATCCGAGCCCATACCCTAGCCTTTTAAGGGTGTTTTGGTCATTGGATCCCCCAAGAAAGGAAGAATAAAGAGATTATAGCATGGATTAACTAAAACTAAACATAACTGATTTTCATGGTAGCGGGCATGTGAAGCAAACTTCTAGACCATGCCAAAGCTATTCCTTTCTTCCCTGCTTAACTTTCTTGGCTGCCAAGCTTAGAACCCATTCCCTTATATAATCAACCATGTCAAAACCTGCAGTTCCTATCACTCTCTCTTGTAACCATGTCGAACTACACATCCTCATCTGACTCCGACGATCAACTAGAGGCCCCAGTTAAACTCTTTGGTCGGCAAAGACCTCTACATGACATTTTTGGAGGAGGAAGAGGTACTTTTCAGTTTCTCTCTTGTTTCTAACACCAACCTGATAGACCTATATTGATTCTTGACCCATATCTCTCTTGCTAATGATTTCGAATTCTCAATATATGTCATTATTATAGTGGGTATCTTTTTTTCTTTCCTTCTTTTGTTTTACCCTTTTTTTTTTCAAGTCTAGTGGTTCTCAGAATAACTAGGAGTTCTATGAAAATAAGGAACAGAAATGCTTTCAGATTATCAGTCACCCAACATTAGCTTTCACCACTGATTCATCCTTTTAATTTTGGGTTATACGACACTGATTCATCCATCTTCTTCCTCTATTTCTTGAACTTGAGAGACTGCTGGTTGGTCTTGCAGTTGCTGACGTGTTGTTATGGAGGGACAAGAAGCTATCAACTGCAGTTCTAATCGGGGTGACGTTTTTATGGATCCTCTTTGAAGTTGTTGAGTACAACTTTGTTACACTTGTGTGTCACATCTCCATCACCACCATGCTTGTTGTCTTTATTTGGAGCAACACTGCACCTCTCTTGTTCCATCGGTAATCTCTTCCTTATTCAGTGTGGCTTTTCTTAATTTGTTGAGGGATGTTCTTCTCAATATGTGTCTGGGTTAAGGCCTAGCTATTCTATTGGCCAGTCTACATAACAGTCTGCAATTCTGCAGATCAATCCTGCACTTCCATGGGAGTGATACTGAGTGGCCATCTCTAGCTACTAACAGTAGATCATTGGTTTGAGTTGTGGGGTTACGTTTGAATTCGAGAGCAGCCACCTTGTGCAAAAAATACCAGAAGTTAGGTCCATGTCCAGTCCACCCCTCCTAATATGAGTTAAGATATATAGCCGGCCGGAACAATTGGGTAATAGTCCTAATTTACATTTCAACCAATTCTGACCGACTAAGGTTCTGGAATTTTAACATGTAGGAATGACATTGTTACCATCATGCAATTGCAAAGTTGAGGTAATGGAAGTGGCTAGAACCTAGGAATAGGGGTGTCAATTGGACTGGATTTGGTCCAATCCGATCCACTCCAATGTGAGTCCATTACAAATGGACCAAGTCCAATCCAATCCAATGAATTGTTTGGACTATTTTGGACTGGTTCAATTCAATGTCTGGACCGTCCAATCTGTGTTTGTCATTTAGAGAGAGAGAGAGAGAAAGGCCATTGCTCATTGATAATTTTGGATATGCTTTATTATGCCATGTTTGTCATTTAAAATCAATATAATATGGGTTATATTTACTCATTTCATGCCTGTAGCAGTCCTCCAGAAATTCGACAGATTAATGAGCTCTTATCCGAGTCAACATTTAAAGAAGTTGCTTTGAACTTCCGCACGAAATTCAACCAATTTCTGTCAATCCTCTATGAAATTGCAAGCGGCAAAGATTTAAAGCTTTTCCTTCTGGTATCTAAATTTTCCACCTACTTGACTCTACTTCAATTTTCATCCACAAGTTTCATCATGTTGTTGATTGTTCATATTTCATTCTTTTTTTTTTTTTTTCTCAGGCAATCACTTTACTTTGGATAGTCTCTGTACTTGGGACCTATTTCAGCACTCTGAATCTTCTTTATCTTGGTAAGAAATCCTAGCTTTCTCTTTCCCAAGAATATTTTTAGCTTTTGAGCCTAAATGACTTCTTTTTCTTCAATGTGTATACAGGACTCCTTTCCATACAAACGCTGCCAGCTTTATACGAGAGGTATGAGAAAGATGTGGATCATCTTGCCAGCAAGGGGAACCGAGACATGAAGAAACTGTATCGCAAATTTGACTCCAAAGTTCTTAAGAAGATCCCAAGAGGGCCAACGAAGGACAAGAAATTGAAATAAACCAGAAGGTGCAAGTTTGGAATTGATTCACCGAAAATTTATGATGGGAGTTCTAACAATATCAGTTCTTTCCGGATCTATTGATTTCTTTTGAGAGTTACTGTGTCCTTGTTTTTTCTCAAGATGACAATTTAATTGGTGTTGATTGAATCTCCATGACTCCTCATTGTAATTCTTTCCAAGGAGATCACCGTCTACCCACCATTTCTTTCCTTTTGAATGTAGAGACTGACGCAATAATAAAGAAATCTATTGATCATAACCAATACATGGACCGATACAAACTTGAGAGAAAAACAAAGAATTAATGTCCACTTCCTGGACTCCATTGTCATTCTGTCTGATCTCCTGAAGTGATCTTATGCTGTTGATGAAGGAACTAATCAGAAAAAAGAAATTAGTGAATGATACTCTGGTACTAGCCCTGGTATGGAAGTTCAGGCCTTCGGGGCCTTGAGTTGAGTAGTCCCTGACAAGATGTTCATACAACAGATAACAGAACACGCTTAATTAAAGAGTGGCCAAGACTACTTCTGAGAGACTCAACCAGTTAACTTGACTAAGCAGCTCATACCTGGATGCATTTCTCTTCTGGCTGGTTTAGCAGAATTCTGAAACCTCAATTTTGCTACTTGTTCAAATTACGACCCTTTTCAAAGACAACAACATTTTAACACTCTTTTGAGCAAATTAAGACTGGTTAGGAGTTAGGACTGGAATTGGCCCTCATAATTATCCATGAAATTATTTTGGCCAAAATTTCGAAGTTTCATCTAAATTCTGGAATTTCAACAATTTATTTTGTTTGAAATTTTCTTGAAAACAGCCTCTCTATATGTGCAGGGGTAGGACTAGGGACATCTGTCCTTCCCCAGCCTGGTGCACAGGGCTGCCTTATTTTGCTTGAAATTTCAAAGTGTTATTAAAATAATATAAATATAGCATACTGTAAATGATTAAATGCATTAATAAAATAAGTAATCGTTAACAAAAAAATATAATCAAAATTTCAAAAAAGTTTATCATGGAGCAAGGGTTCGAGATGGCCGAAAATTTCCTGGGCAAAAATAGACCAATCTAAATGAGCCAAATCAAACGGGCCAGAAGTGCAAATACCAATCTAAATCAACGTTTTAAAAAATGACTCGGAAATGGAACTGTTCTTGCCACCAGTTTCCGGGTTGATAGTCTGGTGATCCGGTTCGAACAGATGGCTTATTCTGACAAATAAATTAAAAAATAAAAAATAATAATTAAATTAAAAAAAAAACGGTCAAAATCATTGAATGAGTCAACAGTTCAACTGCTCGGGTCAATGGTTTATTGATTTTTTTAACTTTTTTTTACCAAAACCAGGTTTTAGGTAAAACGAAACCGATTGCCTGGATGGTTCCTGAGCTGAACAGTCCGACTGTCCAGATCAACGGAAGTTCGAAAACCTTGATCTAAATGGTCACATATGCCTGTAGCAGAATATTTTCTTGGGACTGCCTATAAAACACAAAGAGGGTCATGCATGTCTATTCAATGTTTTAAAATTCCAACTCAGCATTGGCCTGGTCAGGGGCGAGTTTTAGTTCGGGGGTGACCGGGTGTGGTGGGTCTGAACCAGTTGATTGAGGCTCATGTCACAAGCGGGCCCAATAAGGTAATGACGGTGATGATAGTCAAGCCTCATTCGTTTTTCATGAAGATATCTGGATAGATGCGCTTTTCTGGGTAATTGCATTTATCTATGTTCTTTTACTTTTCAGATAAACAAGGCAATGATCATTTTATTCATAAAAAGTTGTTATTAAAAAGAACAATTTTGTCTCATCAAAGTTTTGACGAATTCCTCTCAGGTGGAAAAGTTATTTAGCCACATAGGAAATGAGTATCACTTATAGAAAAAAATAATTTTTTCAAAAACCCCACATAAATCTGAAAAAAAAAGCATGTGTATCTCAGCCAATGGAAACTAAAATCCCATTTACCAACTTTCTCAGTTTCCCCTCTCAAAATCCGAAAAATAATTGGACCCTAATACTATTTGGGGTCGACTCAATGCACTATTGGGCCTATGCATATTAAAGGCCCAAAGCACATATTAGTGAGGAACTTAAAACTTACTTTGGGCCAAAGAAGTTCTTTGAGGCAAAAGACAAGGGATCCAAAGAATGAGAGGGGCATGTGCTCTTCTGAGTTCTGTGACTCCTGTTCGTCTTAGGTTGAGATTCTTGAGAATGTTTCACTAACCATCTTAGAGAGAATGTTGATTGAGCCTAAGATATTGGTGGGTGAGGAGCAGATAGACTCTTGATTCTTATTAGTTATTATCTTTAGGTTATGTTTGTGTTATGGCTGAGCTGGTCCTGAGAGACACATGGCCGCCCAGTCATCGCCCGGCCACGCTGGTCTAGCTCGGCTACGTCGGCATAGCTCGGCCGAGCTACGCTATTATTGTGGCCCCCCATCTTATCCTTTCAGCCACATTAGATACACGTCACATGGATGAGCACAACTACAGAAAAAGAGGAATAAGGAAGACGACTCCACTGGGGAATGGGACTCTATCCCGAATACCTCGGCGGCTAACCTCATCCCGACAACCCCGGAAGCCCAATCCAACCAGGACACGGATCTTCGGCTATAAAAAGGTACTTCATGCTCAAGGTAAGGGATCCCAACTTCTGACACCCGTACTGTTACTTAGCTCGGACCAGTATCCTTATAACTCGACCCGACCATCTACCACATCCTACTAACTTGAGCGTCGGAGTACTTACCCGGGGATAATTCCTCGAGCCTCTGACTCCTCCTTTCTTAATCACAGGTTTTGAAGCACGGCCTCGTCCTTATAGCTTGGCCCTGCCCTATCAACAAGGACTATCTGATTGCTCTGCTCAGTTCGCACACCACCTCAAATTGAACGGAATCAAATTTGAAGGAAAAGGTAGAGAAAGGAAGGAAAAGATAGGGAAACCTATACAAGTCCTTTCCCTACTTTTTTCTTCAAACCAGACATAGCATAAGCAAAAGGTTGAATGTGGGGTTCAAGTCACTAACACGTGGAACTTGGGATTATTTTATTATCTTTTTGGTGGAGAAGAAAAAGCAAGAGAGATTTTTTTTTTCATTCTTTGGAGAGAGAAAGAAAGAAAGAGAGGAGCATTAGTCAAAGGAATTCTAATGACTAATAGTATGGGTTGGCTGAAGAGCAGGTTGAAGCCAATAGTAATGCAAACAGACCTAGTGATGTGGAGGATTTGAACTCTTATTATTATGGTGGTGGATGTAGACATTCTAAAAGAGTATCATGGGTAGAGGTAGAGGCCAACAAGGAACAAAAGTAACTTAATGCTTCTTATCTTTAGTTGGATTTTGCCTTTGGGTGGTTTCTTGGTTTGAATTTGGATTTGCTCCTCGTTGAATTTGCTTTACAGTTTACACCAACCTCACAATAAGTTACAGCCGTGTGCATAAGGAACATCTTCCCATGATCAACAACATGTAAGTATGGAGATATTCCCAATATGCAGCTCCAAGCTAGTGCTGTGAGGTTGGTGTGATGCATGCTTTGTGAAAGTAAATCCGGATTCTCTTGGTTTGAGTGTCATTGTGCTTTGGTATTGTGCACGATTTTTTTGTTTTTTGTTTTTTTTTTTGTTTTTTCTTTTGATGTGTGTGTTATTATGTATATCCTTTCACATTGGACCAGCTGGTCAGACCAGTGACTGGTGATTTGGTCACAATACTGGTTCGGATAACCTCCACCTGTTATTTTTACAGGAGCCTGTTGACTTGATCAACTACTATACACCCGGGCAGCTGAACCATTAATCCACCTTACCTGTTCAGTGGGTTATCAGGTTCTTGTGTATTATTTATTTTTTCTGAATTTTTTTTTGTCTTTTTGATATTGATGGTTGATTCGTTGAGCTAGACAATTGAACATCTGATCCATTGACCAATATGGAGAATGGTTATAAAACATTCTATCTTTATGGTCGCAAGAAAATGTTGAAACAATATGATTGCAGTAGATGAAACTCTAATTTTGTGTCTTTAGGAATCTTACGACTTATTGTCAATGGCACTGATGTTCATTTTTATGTTGTCAAATCCTCTGATAAGGCCTCCCTCGCCTTATTATCAATTTGCTTTTGTGGTCCAAACTGTTTGACTCTGGATGTGTTTTTGCGCAATGGATTCAATATAATACAAAAGTGTTGCACTCAATTTCAGTTTGAATTAGGAGTAAAAGCTCCATCAACAAAAGCAAAATAGCAGTATTGCGAAATACTATTTGGTGTTAATTGAACTGGTGGCAAGTGACTTGTCTCATTCTCTTGATCTGAATATTTGAGACCATCTTCTGTTATGTAACGAGATATGTGCTGTAGAAATGTATCGGTGTCCTGGTCAAATTTTCTTAAGATTTTTTTGGTTCATTTCTCGTGTATATGATTTAGGGTCTGTTTGATTGCTGGGAAAATTGGGCTGATAAAGGTTGGGATGAGATGAGGAAAAATTATTTTCTCAATTAGTTATAATGTATCTATTTGTTGAAAAAATCCCCTTTCCAGTGTTTGTTTTGTAAGAAAATTTATATGAGAAAAATCATGCTCAACCTTCTTCTCCTTCGACCAATTTTCTTAGAGCTCTCACCAGAGATGGCGAACGAGCTATGGCAACCCCTTCTCCAACCTCCTTCTCCTTCGACCTCTCTTTCACTTCGACATTCCCTCTGTCTCTTCACTCTCCCCTTCGTCCAAATAGAGAAGAGACGATTGTTCATCTTCTCATTCTTCCAACCAAAACATGAGGAGGTTGGCACTGTTTCTCTTCCTTGTCTGGACACGGCGAGCCGGAGGTGGAAGTTCTCAGCTCGGTAACATTCTCCCACTCCGGCGTATTGTCTCCCCTCTCCGAACTATTCATCATCTCGGAGCTCTCGACAGGGGCAGTGAACTAGTAGTGGGCGATAGCTACCCCTTCCTCTTTCACCCTCTCTGTTTCTTCTTGACCGCCACTGCAATTCACAGCAGCGGCGATCTGCTTACTCTTGGCCATTCTACCTCATCAATCCTTCCGTTTTCATAATTCCTTTGTTATCATCATTCATACCAATTCGATACACCAACTTTCCTAACACATCACCGATCCCTGTATCCACCTTCATATATGGTTGGAAAGAGCAGACGTTAACGGCGACCTAAACTTCTATTCCTCGTTGGAACACATTAACATTTGAGACAATACCTCCATCAACGAACCACCTGTC